TCCCCAAACATGCTTATACTGGGACAAAGCGAGTGAGTCAACCTGGAGGAGGACCCTTGGGAAGAGCCTTCTCGCAGCGATGGCTCAATACAAGCCTCCCCTGCCTTCCCCACTTCGCCTGCCCGGCTCCCAGAAAGCAGCTGCAGCTGGCTGAGGCTGAACGTTTTTCTATCTCCTCAAGCCTGTAACAACACCTCAGTAAGGAAGTTTTTAGAGCTGCCAAGATTTCCGAACAGCCTTTGAACCGTCTAGCTTTGTGCTGCCTACCCAGTTACTCAGTTTAAGGACCCACACTCAGATTCTGTCTTAAACCACATCAAACTCCAAGAGTTGCAGGAGGACATGACTTGCACAAAGTATTCTGTAACCTTCCTGAAACAGAGGCATGGGACACGCACCTTACCCTTGGCTCTGGGAGTGCTGGGGGAATCGGTCTAAGTCTCAGTAGAGGTAGGAGCTATGCACATGGTATATTAAGACAGACCCACCGCAGGAGGGTCAGAGCTAGCCATCTATGTAAGCTCAGGGCTCCCAGCTGGGAGATGCTGCCGTGGCAGACTTGGAGCTACCAAAGCCAGCCTTCTGCAAGAGGCAGGTACCGTGGGGGACTGCAGCACGGCCAGCCCCCAAAACTAAACTAACTATTTTCTCTGTACTGCAAGCTTCCCATGCTTGCTTCAAAAAGCAACCCCAGACAGGGATCTCTGCTCTAGCTCATTCATCAAACCCAGCACCCCACTGACCAGCCTGCTTCCAGGCACGGCCCAGGGCACGGCAACAGACCCCCGGGCTCCGGCTGCCCCCAGCTGCCTGCCCGCTCCCGAGCCCTCTGGTTCTCCACACATGGCACTGGACAAACGAGACCAGGCCTCTTACACACAGTGAGGCTGCTGGAGAACTAACTCCAACCCTTTCACTCTTAACTGTATACTTCTCCATAAAATCTATAATATATAGCTCTATAGGACCAATTATAATATATTACAGTGAATATATTATAGGCTAGAAATACTCTCTTCTTTTCCCTACTTCAATCACATTATAAATCCAATTTTGCATACAGATTAATCCTAGAAGTTATTGCCTTGAATTTTTTAATTAAAATTCACAGAATAAAGCTTAAATAGTTTTCACAGAGACTCATTATATTAGTGTTTTACATAAAAAGGATAAAAGTTACCAAATGAGAAGAGCAGCCATTTCAGAAACTATAAATAATTATATTTTTGAAAAAAACAAAATCAAATCCTAAAAAAGTTACGGGAAAACCATAAATATCTTTACCCTCTACAGTAGCTGCTATAGAACTAGAAGAAACATGTAACACACTGTAGCTAACTGCTTCAGTTCAGAATATGAATCATATAAAACAAACATCTCCAGAGAAATGCCTGGCCAAAGGAAACACAAAGGGATTGAAAAAATAAATCTGAGGAAATTAAAAAAAGTAGATTTTTTTTTT